TGAGATCTGCATATGAGCTCCTGCCAGAGTGTGGACAGGAGCAGGTCTCTCGCTTTGAGTGATCACCTCACCCACACTTTGGAATGACAGAATATGGCAGAAGATTGATGTCAAACGTGTAGGGCAATAGCACTGTTTTGTTAATGTATAAACACAAAACCTACAAAGTTTTAAAAAAGATAAGAAGTTATCCACTTTGCATTCTAAATAAAGTTAAATATTAAATTAGTTAAATATTAGTTAAATATTAAATTAAATTAAACTGTTAAGTTTAGGAAGCTAGTATGTCTTAATATTGAATACACTTTATATTTGTACTTTGCATATCCAAAGTAAAATACAAAAACTCTATTTGGACTGACGTTTATCAGTCTTTTACTAATTCAAAACTTTTGATGAATTCATTTGTATATTTTACATTCTATTTTATTGCTCATATTTCTGAGTTAGTGACAAAATCACACACTGTTCTACATGAATGTTATAGAAAATTATCATTTATTATTTGTTTGTATCTACATTTTATGAATGCTATCTTTGTACATATTTCTAGTTGTTTTTCTTTGCAATTTAATTAATAATTTAATATGTATGTATGTATTATTTAAAATGTTCGGGCTCATCTCTCAAAACATAAAAGTCTTCAGTTTCATACATTTACATGCTGTTGTCTTTTTTCAGTTATGTTTACTACATGTGATTTCTTCCTTACATGATTTTTTTTTTTTTGGTACTGGAAATCAAACTCAAGAGCTCACACTTGACAGGCAGGCACTTGTGCCCCTGAGCTACACCCCAGCACTCTTACATTCATTTTTATGTATGTGTATGAGTTTGGAAGTTTGCTGTTGGTTTTGGGTATGAAACACATCAATAGAATCTGATATTGCAAATAATATATAAATTCAGGAAACTTTATAATTCTAAATAAATTAGGTATATGTTATGTCCTTTATTACACAGGGTACAAAGCATTTATATCATGTTAGAAAGTAAGCATAATACAATCTACTGGCTAGAAGGAACATCTGAACTATTTCCTTTTGCCCACTCATTTCTTATATCACTACACATATCACAAAATGGAAATTATTTCTGAAATAATTGAAGATATCATGCTGTCTCTCTTGGTGTAAGGTCAATGTGCTATGAAATACAATATGATTTTTAAAAAACTACAATGCTGTGCAACAAATTATGAACACGTTTTTGCATCCGAATAATTAATGAGTAGAAAGTAATACTGCCGTTACATTTACTAAAACAGAGGTCAGTGGAGAGAACACTTATCAGATGGTGCCTGATTACAGGCAGGCTAATCACACCAGCAAACAGCTTTCCTAGCACAATATAATTTTCAGAAATAGACTCGTCTGACATAAAACAGCGTTGATGGCTGTCGCTGGTTTTCCTGCTGCTTCATACTTATCCTATTGCTCAGGTTATTTTCAATTTGCCTGCTTTGGGCAAGTAATTCAGTGCCCAGGATGCCCTATCTTTTTCTTCTTAAATACTCTTATTAGCATCTTTCACATGAAAAGAGAGTGCATGCAATCTGTTGTCCATCATTCCAGTGGGAAGGGTAGGTGAGAATTTGCTTTACAAAGGAAAAACTACTACTAATATTTCATTCCTATGAATAATTCTCATAAAATTACTGCACTTATGAAGTAGGCAATTACTCTTATTATCTCTCTTTTTCTAATGTACCTTTAAAGAATTTTGCTTTTTCATCATCAAACTCATTAACAGGAAACTATATTTTACTTTCCATTTTAAGTTTTTTGAAGATTTGGTGATATCTTTATTCTTGATATATTTGCTTTTTTCATGCAGTAATGACCTTTTATTTTAAAATTCATGATATATTAAGGTCACTTTAATATATGAAATAATTTCATGTATTCATAATGATATATGAAATAACTTCTCTTTTGGTGTTGGAGATTGAACTCAGGTGATGGAAAACAGTAAACATGGACTATATAGGTCAACCCTTATTGAACAACCTCCTGCATGAGAAACTTTGCATAATATAAATCAATCTTCCCCAATTCTTTATTTTCTCATAAATGTTATTATTATATGTGGCTGAAAGTTATAATTGCAATAGTATAAGTTTTCTTTAGTACTTTAAAGTTATTATTATGCAGTGTTTTCACACTGAATTTAAAATTTTTGCATTTAGTATTCCTTCTGTGCACATACTGAGGACTCTTCTAGAGTTGTCCTTCCCAGGATGCTTTGAACTGCATAGCCAATGGCTTCTTCAGTTTCTTATTGCGAAATCAGTATTAACTGTTGATGGCTCAGTTTTCTCAGATTACTTCATAGTGTCCTGAAGTTACTCTAGACTTCTGTTCATTCCTTTTTCTTAATGTTATTTCTCATTAGCGGTTTGTTGTTTCTTTTTCAAGTTCACAATTACTTCCTAATCTGAAGTACCACTTGTAGGATTGCTGATCCTCTTGCAGGATTCTAAGTATCACATTTTCTGTGTGGATACGTGTGTGTGTGTGTGTGTGTGTGTGTGTGTGTGTGTGTGTGTGTGCATGCGAGTGTATTTCCAGTATTATACGGAGTACTTTTCATAACTTCCTATACCTAGGGTAAATGCTCACATATTCATGAATGGTGTTTACTATATCAACTATAACTCTTATTCAAATGGCTGATGATGCTGTTAGATAAACACTAACAAGAGTGCATGTAGTTGAACAACATGATTACATTATTTATTCTCATATGTATTTGACGGTGACAAGAGAAGGCTTTCAGAGTAAGGTGAGCTCTCTCAGTGGCAGGCTGCCTGGTTTCTGCATCTGCCCAAGTTTGACTCTAACTACTGCTCTGTATTTCAGCCCCGCCTTACTCTTAATGTTCCCTCCAATAAAGCTTTACCTGGCTCCTGTCAGGATTAGCCAGGAAGCCTGAAGAGGCCTTTGTCTGCCTACAGACCCCTTTCCTCTGCCTGCCAGCCTGTCAGACACATGCACCTGCTTGCTCATTCACTGGGATAATCTCATTATGTTTTTCTCACATTTCATTCAAATTCACTTCCCTTGTTTGTTCCTTCTCTTTTCATAGTCTCTCACATACTCCATCCCTCATTTCTGTTATACAAGAATATTCTCATTAAAGCCTACTGCTCCCCTAGTAGGTCCCAAATTATTACTTCCTCTGTCAGTTCCTGAGGAATGAAACACTTGGAGAATAGTTCAAAGAAGTTTTAAATTACACGTGAATTTATGGATTATTTTTCAGATACCGATATACTTGGTGGTTACTCTGTCCTCAGAAACAGTGCTAAGAGCTCAATCTAGTGCCAAATTGGAGAACAAAGGGTTGACTGCATTGTTTCCTGCTGGGACCCTGACAGCCTAAGAAACATCACAATGAATAAGGCACTTCCTCAAAAGGTTTATGCACAATAGGTCTTTCACTCTCCAACCCCAGTGATCCTCAAACTTCAACATATTACACTCACACACATTCTTTCTCTGTCTCTGTCTCTGTCTCTGTCTCTCTGTCTCTCTCTCTGTCTCTCTGTCTCTCTCTCTGTCTGTCTCTCACAGACACATAAACTCACACACACTAGATTCATCAGAAAGCCAAGAAAACAGATTCCCAATATTTGCAGTTCTCTAAAACCAATTCTACTGATATCACAATTGAAATATCAAAGAATTTGAAACCAGAATACTGAAAACAATCAATTACATTAAAGATGATACAAATAAGGAGCTGAATTAATCAAATAATTTATTATTTAATGAGGTCAAATAAGATACAATAGAGAACTGAATGATTCCAAGAGGAAATCATTATGCAACATATGATACACTGCTGCAGTAGAAAAAGAGAATTAGGGAAAATAAACTAAGAATTCCTAGAAGTCAATGCACAAATAGACTTATTAGAAATACAACTGAAAAAAATTCAACTGAAATTCTCAATTTAAGATGAATCACAAGTTATAGTATCAGAATCATAGGACATACTGGATGCGCTAGATTAATGACACAGAGAATAAAAATGAGAAGTGATGAGAAGTGGAATAGGCCAGAGTAGAATATGAAATTAACATTTCAGATGTATAATAATGTTACCTAATATATATTTTAAAAATAATTCAGAAAATCATATTGCATTCACCTATTAAAGGGGAAAACTCACTTTACTGATGCAATATGAAAGAATAAGAGAAAACCAACTAAAATACAAAAGTGAAAAGTAAAGTGACACCCTCAGAGTAAATGGAATTGTATTTTAGCACTGTGAAGCACACGGAATTTAAGAAAGGGAGCTAGTAAAATTAGCAGTAGAGACAAAAATAAATTCAATCAATAAAATTAGAATAATAAAATGTTCAAATATTGGAATTGAGTACTATTTTTCACATATTCCATATCATTTATCAAACAGTGAAAGAGATTACAAGTTATATACTGCAAAGGAATGATAAAGGTGTATTTTGATATATATGCTATCACAGCTGAGTTAATAGCTATCCACATGCATGTATCAAATTAACACAGTCTAGTAAATTCACACAAATATGGTCACTTCATCTATGTAACCTGTACTTTAGTTAATCTTTGAATAATAATGGTTGAGATCTGGAATACCCTCTTAACATCTCTTACACTTATAGGCTGGGCTTTTAGAATGTGAGGAAATCACAGAGATACTTATAGCTAGGAGCCTGACCACTGGGCCCATGAACCTGGGGGAATGGATGTCTCTCTCTGGCTCCTCCCTTCTCCCCCTGCTTCCTGGTCTTCATGAGGAGAGCAGCCTTTCTTCCACGATGCCCTCCATTACCCTGTTTCTAGCTTGCAACCAGCTCACCAGGGACTGACACTGTGAAACATAGCAAACTTTACCACTTCTCTGCTGTCAACTGCTTTGTCCCAGTCACAAGGAAAGAAAGTCATGCATAGGAAGTAAGCACCAACTGTCTTCTGGCAAACACAAAGCAGAAAAAATACTGAACTTACATTTGCAGAGGTAGACATGGGTCTCCTAGTTGTGCCTGTGTGTTCCTTCTCCTGACGGTGAAGATAACCTGAAGGAAGGACAAGCAGGAGTCTAACACTAGAAGATAAATGTTTGCCACGTTCAACATTTGGTTCATTCTATTTTATGAAGAGGAAAGGAATTTCATAAAATCCATGTGCTAGAATACACACATGTACACACACCCTGCGCACACACACACACACACACACACACACACACACACCGTACACACACAAATACACATGGACATTGTTCATACCCTTGACGATCACGGTGGTCATCACAATTTGATAAAAGGATAAACTGTAAGTTTTGGCTATCTTCCATTTTGTTCTCTGAGATTTCACCATAAAGAGTATCAGGGAAGTTACTGTATTCAGACTGAGGGATTCAAAGAGAATCCTGAGCTGTGCATCATTCTCCTGTTCCTTTTACCAGCAATTTATCCCTTGATTCATGGACATTTAACACTCACTTCATCCATCGCTGGCAACTGCAAACTGAAAATCATGTGTGTGTGTGTTTTTCTTTTGCTTGTCAGTAGCTGCATGCTATTTCTCTGTCACTGTCAAACATGCTCTGGCTCTCCTATTCCTTCCGTATAGACTTGAAAACTCAAGCCACAGAAACCTGCAATGCTTTCTTATGTTTTTATTTCCACCAAAAAAATATTTTGCTGGCCCCGTTAAATAACTCTGTTACACACAATTGTTCCTACACACTTTCTCAACATTCTGCCGTTTCTTCAGATGTCAGCCAGGAAGAACATTAGCTACACAAAACTGCAAATATTAAGGTTTTTTTCTTTTTTCTCTTACTCAAACCCTGACTTTGGATTTCATCGCAGGGCCTTAGTGAGTGATGTACTGTGGAAATGAAATCGTTTTTCCCAGGAGGTTAGAGATAATCTGCAATGCATCAGTGCCATGAGATAAGCATTGAATATCTTTGAAGTTATGAGTATACGTTCATCTGAAACTTTAATGCATCTACTTGGTGCTCATACACCTCCTTCACCACATATCTCAAACCTGTTCTTGATTGCATGGTTTCGGGCCTAGGACTTAGCTCAATGGCATAAGTGCCTGCCCTTGCAAGCATGCAGGCATGAGTTTAATCACAGTACCAAAAAAAAAAAAGAATGGATTTTGATTTCATGATTTCTTTTCTTATTATTGAGTTTTTAAATTTCTTTGTGTATTATGGATATAATTTCTTTATCAGAAATAAATTCTTCCAATAATTTTCCCCCTGCAATTATCTTCATTCTGTTTCCTGATTGCCCTAATGTATGAAATGATCTGCACATTCACAGCAGGAGAAAGAACTGAACAGTAGCTAATATAAGTATTTAATAAACTCCTGGGATAAGTTTTGTATTACTGGGATCCCATTCTTTGCTGTGATTGATTATATTCTATGTGGAAATTCAAACCAAGATACAAGACTTTCACCACTTTTAAATCCCTGGATTTAGGGGAATATCTTTGACAAATGGCTGCAACCCTAAGAAAAAAACAAGCAATAAACCAATTTAGGCAGATGCACCTTTTCTCTCTGGAAGTTTAGGGAGCAGATGCTGTTTCCTTGCGTTTTGTTTTGTCTGGGTTTGACTTTGTTTGTTTACACTGATTACACTCACTCGTGCAATTCAGTACATATTCATCCAACCAATGAAAAGACACACACATATGCTCCTGCTGTGTAACCCCTGAGTTGTACAGTGCTTTCTCTTTCCCTCCCTAGTGGATCCATGACTCTTAATTGTGGACTGAGTTGAGCTATAGCTGCTCAGTTATGCAACAGAATTACCTAAGAAATATCTACATTGTTCACTTCCAAGCCTTCAAAGATCAGAGAAACTAAAAGGCTATTTCCCTGGCCATAACAGACAGAATGGGAAAAAGAAAATTGCATGAAATTTGAATTTCCTTTTACCAAATCAAATATATGCAGAAGGCAACAAAGTGAAATGGACCCTGTAAGTCAGACCCAGGTCTGCTACTCAATGGCTGTTGACTTCATGGAACTTACTACATATCCAGTGTTGTTTTCAGATGTAAGAAAGAGTTAATGATGCATAGCGGCTTTTCAGAGTTGCTGAGAGAATGAATTTATGTAATGCATTTAAATAACTAGATGAATTATACAATATAATAAATGCTGAGTTATCCTTGGTCTTTTAAAAATTACTTTTTCATTCCCTATTCTTATATTTCTGCCCCTCTGCAATGAACGTTTTACATCTTCTACTGGTGCATAAAATGTATTACACTTTGAGATCTCTGAGTCATTCATTTTCTTCTCTCTCCTGACATATGATAATTAATTGTTTACATGATCTACATTTATGTTTATATGTTTTACACAAGTAGAAGGAGCACTCAAAACCACTCTTACTCACCAATACCTGGATAAATGCCCAACCAGCTCCAACCAACACCTGATAGCATATGATGAATGACAGCAGAACAGTGGGGTCTTTGGAGAAGCGGAACGCAGCATTCCTAGGAAGCTCAGCTCTTCTTCTACAGTGCATGGACACCTGGAGAAGCCACACAGCCATCACATTCACCAGAACTGTGGGCAGGAGAAGGATCTTTGAGAATCTCCCTGAACAAAATCCTCATTTACTTCTACATATAAAATCCCAATGGCCTGGTTGTTTAGCTCTGATTTAAATGTTTCCAGTGACACCGATTTACTGCCCTCAGTAGTAACCCAAACCCAGATCTGTATACACATGGATGAACTAAAGAAGAACTAACCCTATTATAAAAACTTCTAACAGGTTTATTATGCATTCATCCAAATGAGAGAATATTTTATTGCTAAATGAATTAACAAAAAGGTCAAAACAAAATGAAAAAATAAGATATTGGGTAGTATGTTAGAAAGATTTGCAAAAATTTCTGCATATTTATAGAATATTTTACTGATGAAAACATAAATCAACAAGAATTACATGTGATAGTTATGTCTTATATGAGAAAACTGAGTGAGCTGCATAAAACTAGAATTCATTGAAAAACATGCATACAGTCATTTTCAAAGGTATAAACACAATTTAATGCTAACATGAATAAAAGATAGATTAATCTAAATATAAATAGAGTGTCACTCTATTAAATATCTGTAATAATATTTCTAATTCAAGTTAAAAAATAAAATGCTATTATTTTTCACAAGTACAAATTGCATAAAATTTCCTTAGATTTTAAAATGTCACTAGTTGTGTGAGAACCTGACATAAACAATTTGAAAGACAAAAAGCTTATTTTGGTTCACAATCCACAGGTTGCAGTCCATGGCCTACCTTTTCTCACTTTAGACCTGCAGGAAGTCAGAAAGAGCAGAAAAGGCCAGGAAGAGGAAAGTGTCTCAGCATGGCAACCAGGCACCAAAGAAGAGTCCAGGAGTCAGACAGGAAAAATTCGGGGAACACATATATGCCTCATGTTCACCCCCATGACCCAATAAGGCTATTGCCTTTATCCATCACCTGCCTATAATGACATCCACCTATTCTTGCTGCCTTGATTATCTGATCATTTTCCAAAAACCCCATCGACTCTCAACAAAACCTTTAGTTTTATGGAACATTTCACTTCCCTACCATGACACTCCCATAGTTGCAATCATAGATAATATCACTGTATCTGAATGGCTTAAACAAACATCACCTTATCTAAAGGAAAACCATGATCAGGTAAACTCAGATGGTTTTCCACAGGCTCACTGCTACCTGATTCCAGGTTCTGCAATGTGTAACAAATAAATCATGCTATATGGTTTGGATACCAATGATAATGTGCTCAAATTCCTGATGCCATCACTGAGATGGTCACGGGGGTGAATTAGTTCCCATTTCATTATGTCCTCTAAAGCACAGGCATCCATCACATTCTTTAAATTCTCACAGATTTTTAAGACTACATCTTAGCAGTTTTCAAGGTTTGATCTAAGTGGAAAATAACTTTCCCAAAACCTCATTCCACTCATAAAATTGAACCAACTGAAAGGGTTGGATTCTCCAGCAGGTGGGGGGCTCTCTCCTCCTGCTATGGGAAACCTTGTGCTTACTCATGTTTTACTGTTTTCCTTGATATCTGCTTCTCTGAGTCACTTAACAATAGCACCTTCCTTACTGCCCAAGTCCTAGAAGACACAACAGAAAAGCTCACCACTACCATTTTCTGCACACTGCTGCTCATACCTCATTTTTTTGCAAATGTGTATTTCTGAAAAAGGTTTAAATTTTCAGAGTTTTGCTCGTTTCATCTTTAAATTATTATGGTACTTTTCATTCTGTAAACTATTTCTGCCTCTAGAGCTTCCTTTATATACAGTACAAAAGTACTCTTAAAACATACAGGACAAAAAGAATATTTTCCTAAAATATTTGTGCAGGCTTCAATATTATCTCAGGAGTACAGATGTAGGACATTTTCCATAATAATATCTAGCTACCAAAAAGGCTTTTCATTTATTGAGTTGCTCTCCTACATGATATCACATTTTTCCTCGAATCAAGTGGCACATCTTACCCACTGATATCTGTGGATCTTCTTTACTAAATGTAATACTTCGTATGCTCACAGTCTTTCTCTTTAACTCTGTTTCAACTGATATCAATACAGCCGTTACAGCACTTCTAATTATGGTATTTATTTGCATTGTGATTCTTACTCCTTTTTGGAATGTTTCCACATTGATTTACTGTTTTTAAATTTTCATGTACATATGAAGTTCATCTCTTTTAGAAAGTACTTGGCTTGGAATGGCTCTTCTATCCAGTTGGATAATGTCCTTAACTGAATGCTACATCCTTTACATCCAGGAAAATTCTTTGTTTTTATGGTTTCATTTTGTTGTTGTTGTTGTTTTTCACATCTGTTCTTTTTCTGCATAAACCTCATCTTCCCAGTACACCGACCCCTATATATAACCCAACAATTATCAGGAACTAACCCTCCCCAAAGATTCATCCTATTAGAAAATAATCCTAACTCTAACATAACACTAACCCTAACTTTATAACCCTAAGACTCTGACTATAACACTAAAACTAAGCAATGAGCTAAGCATAAATGAGCAGTAACCCCAAACCTATTACTCATGCTCCCCTACCCTAACACTGACAATACCCTACAATAACACTGACAACATCACCCACTCTGATTCCTAATCCCACCCCTCACTCTAAAACAAAAGAGATGAAAACTAACCATAGTCCTCCACCATTCATCCTATCCCTAACTCTGCTTCTATAAACACAGATTAAACTCAACCAATGTCAAAACCTAAACACTAAACTTTACCTTAACCCTAACTTGAACCCTAAATATGACCCCAGCTCTGACACTGATATTATCCCAACTGGACCTGTATCCTGCAGTATTAATCATAAATGTAACCCTAACCTTAACTCCCAACTGGAAACTCACACTGATCCCCAAGACTAATCACTAAAACCTGCCCTAATTCCTAATCTGAACCCGAACTCTGTTTTTGAAATCTAATCCTAACCACTAACCACTGCCCCTAACACTATATTTAATACCTTTAGCACTTACTGTAGCCCTAAACGTGGGCCTAAGCTAGCCCTCATTCCAATCCCAAAGCTGACTCTGCACCATACACCTCCTTTACTTATTCCCCCAAACAAAACTGAACCCTTAAAAAACCATTAGCTCAAATAAACATCTCCTCATAAATTGGGACTGTTGCTTATTTATTCTCAATAACAAGAAAATGTCCCACATCCCCCTTAGATCTTTATCTCCCTAAACCCAAACCCTAAACTCAATTACAATGCTAATCCCTACCCAAATCCTGAGTAACAGAAAGAGCCAAGGTTTATAGCAGCATGGTCTTAAGAGCAAAATCAAGGAAGCCATCTGTGTATCCACTGGTGACTGTGTAAAGAAAATGTACTATCTACACATAACGGAAAATAAAGAGAATAAAGATATGCCATGTGCAGGAATTTAATCTGCTAAGTGAATGTGAGCACTGTGTGTTTTATGCATGAGATGAGTTTAATAACATTAATGAAATCAAGCAAAAGGGATTTAGAAGAGGAAGAGGGAAGGGGATTACAAAACAACTCTACGGTGAATGTGCACCTACTCCCCACTGTGTGTAACTACAGCTACTGCAAGGATGTACTAAGAAGGAAATACTTTTCAAAAACCTGGAACCTAATTTCTAACACTTCATCTCTCATTCTCAGCCATAACACAGTGCAAATCTCATGTTAAACCTCCACTACATCCCAACAAACCTCAACCCAAATGCCATCTTGTTCCCTCACCCTAACATTCATCCCCTTCCTCATCCTAACTGTAATGGAATTTTGAAGAAATGACCTCATGACCTCGGTGATAGAACCCAACAAGGCTTGGAACTCTGGTAACCAAGCCTCCACACTTTTGAATCTATCTCCTGCCCTGATCACTTGGAGGGAGACATTCAAGAGTAGAAGATGAGCTTTTGCTGTTTTCCTGGTTTCCAAAGTTCTAGCCGCAAAAGGCACAGGAACCAGAGCCTTTTCAGATCTTGGTTCCCACCTCACTGTGGATGTTTCAAGCTAATGTTCAGGAGGAGCCGACAAGTAAGAGAGATAACCCCATGCCAATGCCAGCCTCTTAAGGGCAGTCATTCACCAATGGATTTGGGGGGATGTGCAGGGGTTGACCCAAACAGGGGGAGATTTAAAGTGTCCCAACTTTGACCTGTCCACTTCCTATTTCCTACTTCATGGTTGGAAGTATGACAGGCATCGAAGGTCTATAGTTACGGGATTATTGGGGATCAGTTTATCTGATGGGAGGTTAATCAACTGATTCAAGCTGTCCTCTCGCACCTCTCTGTCTCAAGATTATACATATACCGCCCTATGCCGCCTAACGTGGAGAGATTTTTCTATGAGGGGGCTGTGTGGGGATGGCCAGGAGGAGTGAATGATAACTTGTGGCTCAAATGTCAGGTACTCTCTTGGCAGAGCTCTGTGCAGATCATCAGCACACCATGTGGCAACTCGGTCTCCATCAACCCAGAGCAGGAGCATGAAAACTCCAACAGTGGCCAGTGCTGGTCTAGGGTGCAAGTGAGCACACAAGGGTCTGTACAGGTGAGAACTCATGCTGACCAGGACTAAGATCAAAGAAAGATAACTTCCCCGGGTCATGGCTTAGGGCTTGACCATAGAAATGACCTGTAGTCCCATTGCCAAAGGAATCTGGTCTTCCTTATAACCCTTGTTCACTTAAATAGGTATAAAGTTTCATATCATGCATTTGTAGAATCAGAGCAAGTATGTTCTGAATCATTTCCCTCTAAATCAAGATATGGACAACTTGGTTTGATGTAGTGTTTACTTAACTGCTCCAAGTATCCCATGTGCAATCAACTCCAATACCTTTCTGGGCCTTCTACACATCCAAACTCTTACCAGGAGGGTTCCACAAACAAATGAGTTATGTACACTCACAAAAATATAAACTTTGCTAAGCTGCTCTGCACATTTCTCAATAGTGTCACATCAAGAACATGTCACTCAATTCCCAGTACCAAAA